AGCTGGACCTGCCTGCATCGTTGAAACAACGAGGCATACACGATGTTTTCCACGCCTCCTTACTCAAGCCGCACGTGCCAAACGACGACCGCCTATTCCCGGGCCGTCTGCACAACCAGATCTCCACCACATTTGAAGACTCTACTCGCGAATGGGCCGTACATGGCATCGTTGGCCATATCAACAGCGGCACCAACGCCATCTTCAAACTGCAATGGAAATCCGGCGACATCACATGGTTGCCGTACCGTTCCATAGCGCATCTCGACGCACTGCCCGCATACCTCGAGCTTCTAGGCGTCGAAGACATAGCACAACTACTAGAAGGCAAAGAAGATGCGCCACCAGAAGACCCGCAGATCCTTCTCGGTTCCATGCATATCGATATCGAGGATCTCGAGAAATTTTCCATGCAAGAGGCTCAGGATGAATGGTACCGAACGGTATATCTACCCTCCCTACTAGGTGCTGTCAGCCTCAGTCATAACGACGACCCATCTACTCCCCGCTACAGACCGCGCACCCCACCTACTATCCCATCAGACATGTCCATCAACAAAGACTTGCGTTTCATCTGTAAGGAGACCAACGGTCGTTACACCGTCCTCGACAACGAAGGCAACCCCCACCGCAGCCTCGAAGTCACCCAGCTCCGCTCCTTCCTTCGCTTTGACGCAGCGGTTCGCGTGGGCAAACGACCCCTGGTCCCCGTCGGGTTCCGCTCCTTCCGAGACGCCTTCGAAAGGGAGCCGATCGTCAAGGCCCGTTTCATCCGCTGGACCAACGGCAATTGGGAAGTACCACCCACGGCCGCCCCCTCCTACCTCGACCTCGCCATACCCATCGAACGCGATGACGAAAAAGCCATAGCGCAGATGAAACTCGTCATTGACCTCGAGGATAAGGTCACAGTCCTCGAGGCCCAGCTGCGCGCCGAGGGCCGAAACAAGCAACGGCAGCAGGAGGCTATAACCGACCGTAGAGCGCGCAAGAGGCTCGGTCTCCCAGCGGCACCCCGTGCACGAGGTGCCAACAACCATGACAACAACCAGTACGATAACCACGACCACCACCGTAGTCAACCCTTCCACGCGAGGGACGTCAGCCCAGTACGGTCAGCGCGCGGCCATAGACCTCGCCCATACTCACCTCCACCCCGTATGTCCTCGCCTACCCCGCGCAGTCGTCGTTACCCCTCCTACGACCGCTCCCGCTCCCGTACTCGCTCCCGTACTTGCTCGCGCTCCCTCACTCCCACCCAATACCAGGACCGCGATATGGACGTCGATTTAGACGACGCCGACCGCGAGAACAGGCAGGACAGGGACCAGTACATGCAGCCGCCCCTTCCACTCCAGTCAGGCCTCGGCACTGTCCCCGGTAATGGCGGTCCACCAACCCTCTCCGCCGACGTCGCCGCATCCATCGCCGAAGCCTTCGCTGCCGCTGGAGGCACGCAAGCCACCGCGGCAGGCGCTCCCTCCACATCGGGGAATGGAGCCTTTCCCCCCGTCGGCGTCGCTACCGCCGCACAGTACCCGAAGATAAACAAGTCCCGGGCGGCATCCCCTAACGGCAAATCCGTCAGCGCATCCGACGCAGACGACGACCACGCTAGCAATAACGTCTAAGCGATTCCTGCGCAATCGCTGGAGGGCGTATGTCGCGGTTCCGTGACCGTCACCCGACGTGCCGATCATCGAATGGACTGAAGCATTGTACCTCGTAACATTCAACTACTCCCTACATGATAGAACACGTACAGTCTTCCCTTAAGAAGTGTTCTAGCTTTCATCCATACTCCTACCTTCTCTTCTCGTATCTTCCCTTACTTACATTTGGCTTCCCCTGATTATTTTCCATTCAACACCAGTAGCTTACTTATCATTCATATCCATTACCTATAAGTACAGCTAGCCAACACGATGTACAATAGCGATACTCGAATACAGTGGCTTTACACCAGTTATTCCCAGTGTCCTCATACCATTTTCCCTCGTGTGCCGGAACTCAGACCGTTACCAGTCACGCTTCCGCCACAGTCGCCCTGCGCCCTGATCCTCCTATTCATACTGTCCATCAGTTTTCGTTGCGCCTCAAGCACCCACAGTTCATTGGCCAATCCATTATCCGTCTGACGTCACAAGCTTGATGATCGGCTAGCTACAGTGATAGCTAGGACTGCCAAAAAAATCGTCGCCAGCAGGATTTGAACCTACGCCCTCAAAGAGGAACAGATAATGAGCAATTCAAATCTGTCGCCGTAACCACTTGGCTATGACGACTGTGATGTCTTAGTCTCACTTGAGCCCCATCACTCTTCAACCTATATGCTGCCTCTCGATGTCACGAAATTACCCAGAGTAACTTTAAAGGGCGGAATAATATGGTACATGTAATTATGTCTGCAAAGACTCTCAGAGTCAGTTAGGTATCATCTCCCTCGGCCAGCATCCTCCCCCTCCAGCTTGACTTTCTTGGCAACATGGCTGGCGAAGCTCTCGAACACCATTCTGTCCCACCCATACAACCACCGAACCTCCATTATCACATCCATATTTTTATCTCCTGAAAGGATCGTGAAACCACACACGAGCGCGGGGTCGGGGTTTTCTCCGGAGGTAGTCGACGTGGTGGGTACATCGCCGTTGATAGCATTCCCCAAAGCTTCGCTCCGCTTGCGTTTCCGGCGGGCAGCGCGCGACCAAGTATCGGACGTCGCAGTCACAACCAATTTGCATTCTATGCGCATGGGTGTTGCTTCGTTCCTACCTGTTGCGTGGTCTTCGCCGTCCCCGGTACTAGCTGCGCCTTCACATTCTTGCAGAAAGGTCACCGTTGCACCCTCGACGCTGCCCAACACACCCAGCAACCTCTCTTCTATGCCTTCACCGCCACCGCCGATGGGGAATCGAAGGGTGTTACGTGCAGGCAGGAGGGGCAGCAGTGTTGGGTTGGGATTCGTGATGCGAGCAGCATTCTGCATGGAATGGGATGTAAACTTCGTATCCGAGGAGAATATGGAGGGTAGAAGGATAGACAAAAAGAGGACATACATCATCTAGCCTCCATGCACCCATTGACCATCCCACCGCCCAACGCCGTGTGTGGCCTTGTACAAACTCAGTTATCGCGTAGTTCGTAATCTGAGTGGAGATGTAAAGTTCAGTTTCACGCGCAGAATTGGAAGGCAGAAGAGATGGGATTCCTTGGAGCACGAGAGAAGACAACTCACACCGAGTTCCTTCAACACGTATACTATTTCAACAACCGAGCCCATCTTGCCCAGCATCGACGTATACCAGCGTGGCCCTTTTTTCCTTGCCTCTCGTCGTATGGGTGGTGTCGCTTCCAAAGACGTTCTCGAGCCAGCTGGCTCAGGACTTCCTCCATCAACTCTCCTCCGCTTCAAGTTCTCTCTCTCCGGATACTGCTTAACAGGACTCGTGCCTGCCACTGCCTTTGCAATACCTCCATCAACACTCTCACGCACCATCGCACCGACAAACCGTGCCTCCCCGCCAGGTGTAATCATCTCTACCGGCGCACCTGTGCAGACCTATAAACACGGGTTAGACTTTCGGCGAGTGAAGGAAGATGCGCGAACTCACGCCGAAGGCACTCTGTTCCTTCCTTGCCTCACTTTGGGCGACATCCTCCGCGCTGCTGTAGAACGGTGGGTTGCACATCGTGAACTGGATCTCCACTGCTTCATCGACGCGTTCTGGTTCTCCATCAGGGACAGGTTCTTCCTTGTGCGCGACCGTATCCGTCTGTATAGATATTTTGGCATCGAGTGGATGAGAACCAAGCCTGTGTACCGAATAAAGGATATGTAAAAATGGGAAGAGTGATAAACACATACCCGGTTGCGCCGTCTTCATCCTTGCTTCCAGTACCATAGAAGAGTTGATCAAACCCAAAGCGTAGCTCTCCGTCTCCATTAACAGTCTTATCGGTTTCCGGTGCAGGTGCACTGGCCCTGGCCTTGACAAGTCGGATACGATCAGAGAGTCCGTTGGAGCGTACATTATCTTGGGCATAAGTATATGATAGTTCATCTAATTCTAGAGAGGCGGAACTCAGGAGATGTTTATAGATGGAAAGAGTAAGGTCTCACCTGTCGCGACAAAAGTCCATGTTGGCTTACAGGTACACGCCAGAAGTGGGTAGATCGCGGACGCGCCTGTTCCTCTACACCAAGGTCAATCGTCACGCATCAGCGCCGTGGGTGTGCCACGTACATGTCCAGTCCACGGACAGCCATCTTGCCGCTAACAGCCCTTCCTAAGACATAAGGAGCTGCATCCCGAAGTCCGGCCACGGTATCCTGGATCCAAAGGATGTAGTTCAACCTGCGCGCTGACATGAGATACATTCCTCAACCTGGATGGGGTGCACGGTACCTATTGGGAACCTGGGATGCGTGAGCGGTGTAGAGGACAAGTAGACGTGGTGAAAGACTTACCGGAGGACAGAGTCTATCTGGTGGGAGGCGGGTCTCGAGGTTAAAGTCGCGTTTCAACAGGGCTTGCGTCAAGCACCTATGTCGGCTTCAGGACGCAGTAGGTTATGGGGAGTCACGTCGTAGACGTACCGTTGGGCTGCGTCATCGTGAAAGTCGATGCTTCCGCCTTGGAGGCTGCGGGAGATCCAGTCAAATTAGAACGTCGCTTATAGAGGACACTGACTGCTTGGAGAGAGGCGGATAGGAGCGGGCTAAAGCTCTAAAATCGGGGGTATTGCGGTACGGGTTGCGAGGGTGCATGCATTCATGAGGTCAAGGAGAGGAAAAGATAAAAAACAAACATGCATTGGTCAATCGACGCCAGCAGGACTCGAACCTGCGCCCTCAAAGAGGAACAGATTTCTAATCTGTCGCTTTAACCGCTTAGCTATAGCGCCTTAGAATCTGAGGGGTTTAAGAACAATATAATGAGTATCATACTGATATTCTGCTGATATCCATTTTGGAAAAAAACAAGACTCCAAGTCATGATCGACGCCAGCAGGATTTGAACCTGCGCCCTCAAAGAGGAACAGATAGTTGACGAACATTCTAATCTGTCGCCGTAACCACTTGGCTATAGCGCCCTATGCATTTCAGATAGAGGTCTGGATCCCATCGAGCAATATGAGCGACCTGATGTGCAAGTGCCGTACCATTAATTTTCCTATAAGGCCATCTAGGGTATACAGTAAATGGATATGCATGCGTTAGGGCATCAGTGGCTTGCTATAGGAGTAGCCCAACAACCTTCGCGACCCTCAAGCCGGTCTATCCAATCTCGCCTAAAAGACTCATCGGGTATATGGGTATTCGTTCTAGCAAGGAGCGAGAAGATGACCCCCTGCGGCGATTTCGCAGCTTTAAGCTGCTCCACCATCAGCTGGTCTCGTGCGTTTGCCGCAGCTGGCTTCCCAGAAGGTGGGAGAGGAGGCGCTGGTTGGACCGCGACATAATGAACGCGGGGTGGTAGTTTGGAGGGGAAGGGCGACGTCTCGATGCCGGAGAAAGCTTCGTGGAGCTCAAGCGCAAAGCTGACGGCCGTGCTGAGGCCAGAGACACGTATGTGTGTCAATGCTGGGCAAGTTTGCTCCAGCCCGCCCGTCTCGAGCAGACCGTGAGGGTTGCGATTGCCGTGGAGGTGCAGACGCTCTAGTGAAGGCATCTTTCCAGGAGAGGAAGGGAATGGGTAAAAGCCTGATATGGAAAGCTCACGCAATCGCGGGAAGTATGTACGGAAAAGCCGTGATATGGCTGGAGTGCTTGTGGCTGGTGATGACACAAAAGATAGTGTCTCCAGTGTCGGCGCCGCAAAAGTGAGGATCCGCAGGATGGCAGTTGACTCAGCGGTGTTCGGTGGGTTTATTGGCTCGTGGTTGCTTTCGCCAGGAGTCGGTTGGGTGGAAATAAATAGATGATGGATGGAGCGTAAGTGGGCAGGCGTTCTCTCGAGCTTGGATGCAAGAATAGAGATTTTATTCGGACCAGAGATGGCGAGAGATTGGTATAGGAATGGTCGAGAAATTTCTCGGAGGTATTGCGAGACGAGGCTGAGCGCTCGAACGGTACGACCGTCATCTAAACAAGCCAGTTGGCAAATGTATGAATGGATTTCGGGCGGGCAAAGATGTATGTTCATGGTTGGGTGGCGGAACAGAGAGCGGTGACGCGATCACAGTTGCCTCAGTCATTTTCACTTGAATACAGGATGAGCAGCAATGGTGCAGCGATGGCGACATGTTGCGACATATCAGTCACGTGGGAGCATACGCCACCAAAACGCGACGCGCTCCCGTGTCCGAGTCTCCGAAGGGCGACGCGCGCGGAGATCAAAGCGTTACATCCAGCCGGGCGTATTTGTTACCGCGATGAGTGGGTTGGGAAAGCGACATACACACCTGGGAGTTGCAGATATCGAATTGTAGACCCTATACGGCGAACATATACAAATCAGGTTCATTTCATACAATTCTTTGGGGACTTCTGGGGTAGGAGTTTCATATATCGCTGCAGCCACATTGCAATGGTCTCGTTCAATTTCTGCTAAGACCGGGTACTGATAGCATGTAAGCGGAAATGAATCGGATTGAGCAAGCTCGTGACAGGTGCTTGTTGTATGCAAAATCCCCGTGCCTTACACGTACTATTAGCACAAAATACGCGTCGAGTCGTCCTTTGAAGCCAGACTATAGTTGAGCACGCCGCGCCAAGGGATAACAGGGGTTGATGAAGACTGAGCGTAGGGTGCAGATGGCATAGCCCCTAGGGAAAGAGAACAAAAGGGGTACGAAGCGGATAGAAGAACGCACCATTATACTCAAAATAGGGTGCGAAAGAGGTCTAGAATTGTGCCAGTGTACTGTTATATTTTGTTGCGAAAAATTCCCCCAGCACTTGTCCCATTACTGGTGCACGTAGGTCTTGGACTTGGGAATGAGGTCAGCCTATTCGGTCCTCCTGGCGAAACTTCTGGCTTAGTAGAATTCACTCCAAGCGCATGTCGCGGGAGTCCGGTCCCTCACAGTTCTGATTTATGGCCGAGGAACTCCAACACATACAGAAGGCCGTTGGACTGATGGTAAGTTGGAAGACTTGAGCAGCTGGGCGACTGCTGTACATAGCATAGGGCATGGAATCATATGAGGTTGTAGCAGGTTGTAGCCAGCGTTGAAGCCGGCGAAAACGTTTTAATCTAAATTTAGGCATTCTGGGTGAACGCACACGTGACTGATGGTGCCTCCTCTCCGAGTCCCCTCCTCTCCCGCTGCCGCGCTGCGGCTGCGTTTGGCATTTTATCTTCTTCAACTTGACTCAGACTGACCTCTGGCATCACTGACGTTGATGGCTTCCGACGTTTAGGTATCCCTCGTCACTCGACATTGTACGACATGACAAGAACCGATTTCAACAGTTGGCTTCTAATGCTGGACCGTTGGCATATCATGTAGAGGGGTGGGGAATAAGATGCGGTCGCCACTCAGGTCTAGCTCGGTCCAGCATGAAACGGGGCTCGATAGCGAAGGCGGAGCACGTCCAAGGCTCTGCAGAGAGTCACTGGTGACCTCTCGGCGTTCTTGGCCGGTTTAGACTCTTGTGGTGGCACCACGACCCATCGCGGACACCACTTGAAGTTGAGCTCCTGAAAGCAAGCTACCCGGATGCTTTGATTCATATTCCATCTTCAGGCTCTTTCCACTCCTTTCACCTCCAGCCTCGAGTTTACGCGTAAGGTCTACTTTGACCGCCATCCCAGCTCTTCCGCCGAGCTTCTTGGCAGGATATGCATATAATTGAAACAGCTGTTTGTTAACCCTATCACCCGTACCTCCTTTCTTTCTTTCTCCCCCCTGCCCTCCGAGATGCTGTTTCTGGCGCTCTTTGGTTTTGGTGTGCTCAGCAACAGCGCCAGAGCGGTCACGGTCTATGGACAGGTACCTCTCGGCCAGACTATCAGACTCAACTCTACAGCGACGGCTCCTGGCGCCGCGGCAACCCCAGTAGTGACGCTAGCAGCGTACGACGAGACCATCCTCAGGCCCCCACCTCCTCCCCAAGACCAGTCCCTAAATTTCACTCTGAACCTAGCGGCGAACAACGCGAGTGTCGTAGGACTCTCTATCATGCAACATGGCTCTTTCTACGGGTTTTCCATCGAGATGTCTGTCGTCACGCAGTTGAGTGAGTAGTTATGCACATCTCCTAAACCGTCCGGCGCGCCTACAACATTGCTTTCCAACAGTGGGAAAGAACGCGTCAGTTTCTCGTTCGGCCTTCCTTCATCAGTTATCTTATCATGCGTTACTAGCTCACATATCAAAGTACCCTTCCTCAATCTCCTCGCACAGATTCAACAAAGGGCTGGTGGAACACATATTCGTATGGGTGGAAATACACAGGATTTCGCCTATTATGTCGACAACATTGAAGGTGGTTATGCTACCGCGAAGGAGAAGTACGATTCGAATAACCCGGTCAGGCCACTCTCCCTGTCCCATGGCTGTCGCCTAATACTGTTTGCCATCAGACGCTGACACCTGCCGTGCTGTATACCGACGAACTTTTCTATCTCGCGGCCAATGTATCATCTCTTGTAAATGTCGGATGGTATCTAGGTACGTGGTACAAGTCTCGCGAGAATGCCTTGACTGAGAAGCATCATAGGCATTCCCTTCAATGACACGAACTGGCGCCTTGCTATAGCGCAAAAAGGTCAGGCTATTCTGGGTGATCGTCTCTTGGGCCTTCAAGCAGCAAATGAGCCCGATTATTACTTGAGGTAAGATAGACGTGCATCACCAGCTGAGCATGGAGCATTTACATTGGCTGACCTGTTCAAAATAAGTCACAATCATCGTGTCGAGCCGTACGACGTCAACGAGTACGTTGGGGAATTTGCTTCTCTTGTGGAAAGTATTCAGGGCAACGAAAACATCCCGATCAAGAACATGCTCATAGGTCCCAGTCTCGCCTCCGGTCCATGGGAGCCTGACCGACTCTGGCCAACTGGCTATCTCGACAGGTTCAAGGACAGCCTCAAGATCATCACCATGGAACAGTGCGGTTTTCCTTCCTGCACAGTGCACGCTTAATGGCGGATTTTGATCAAACCATGTATAGTTATCCGAGCAACAATTGCGCTGCTCGGTTCGGTATCGGCTCTTATGTGGACCCTCAAGAAACCTTCCCTTCGTTCCTAAATCATGATGCTGGCCTTAACTTAGTCGCCAAGTACCGCGATACGAGCAACCGTGCCCAAGCACTTGGGAAACCATTCATTATGTTCGAGACAAATACCGCAACCTGCGGTGGACTCCCTGGAATTTCGGATAGCTTCGGCGCGGCATTGTGGGCCATAGACTATGGCCTTACGATGGCAGCTACAAACTTCTCTGGCGCACTCCTTCACGTTGGAGGGCAGAATGTCTATTACAATGTAAGTCTTTCGTCAACTGTTCTCCGCTGCTGTAACAAAAATCCCGCTTTTACAGCCTTTCACAGGTAGAGTAGCCTGGCACAAGTAAAAGAAAAAACCACTGATCACCGTTTGCATAAACTAGCTCCCCCTACTAATCAAACCGCTTTTAATCAGTGGACTGTCGGAGCCATCTATTATTCAGTCCTCATTGTCGCCGAGATCTTTGGCAAATCCAACGTTTCTCAGATTGTCGACACTTCAAATAATGGAATCTACACGCCGTCTTATGCAATCTATGACAATGGCGTGCTCAGCAAAGTAGCCCTTTTGAACTTCATAGACGACTCCACTGGAGCTCACGACATAATGGGAACCATCACCGTCAACGGCGGTCAGGTGCCCTCTGAAGTTCACGTCAAGTAAGCGATTTTTTTGTCTTCTGCAAGATTGCTAATCTGACAATGTAACCCCGTCCCTCAGGTACTTTGAAGCCTCCTCGGTTTCAGTCAAGAGAAATATAACATGGGCTGGTCAGGTGAGGCTACATTCATTGTGTAATCATGACTTTCTAGACCCTTTTGCTTCCCAAGACTTTTGGTAACAAATATGAAGTTGACGGCCGACTCAAAGGCGAAGTCAATATCACTAAGATTCCATGCAACCACAATCTGT